ACATCTCAATAAAGCTACTTTGAAAAAAAATCTGCTATCCCTGATGCTTGACACACCTGCAAGGAAGGACACACACTCACCTGTAAGATGAGGCTTGGTGATTTTTTTTTTTTTTGGCTTGTTTTTATATAATAGCCATGACCAAGCAGTGGAACAATATACTTCAGTAAGGTGGGTGTTTTAAAAATCATCATCAGTATGTAATCCGAAATGTACAATGCAAGATAAATAGAAGCCTGCCTCAGTTAAGAGACAGAGGTAGTGCTTTACGATGATGATTTGTGTATCCCCAATGACCCTTCATCCAACGCATAAGTGGAGTCAATCCATTTACCTTATTTCACTGTAGTAAGGATCCACTGCTGCCGTGGAACAGAAGCAGCAAAGAGTAAATTAGACAAAGAACCTTTGTCTTCAGGTTCCCAGTTGTGCAGCATACATCTTTCTCCTGTGCATTGGCCTTATTTCTCTATCTGGATTGTAAACTGATTAAGTGCAGCAGTTGTATTCTGCCTTTTTTTCTCTGCCTCCTGGTGTATCCCTCTAGCTCAGGGTAGAGCACACCTAGGTTGCCAAGCCAAATTTTGGTGTGGCTGCTTTCCTTTGATGCCCGTGAGGGTGGAGGGCCTGGGTTAGGTGGGTAAGAGAATTTAAGTGTTTCAAGCCTACCTGCTGGACCACATTCCATTCCACCAGGACAGATGGGATTCTCTGTTCTTCGTGGAAATTTCTGGAGCTCCCCAGCCATGCACAAAGATTGATAAGCTATAGAACAGGAAAGAGTGCTGTGCACTGTGCCTCCTGACAGCGTGTCTTTTATTACTGTTATCCCCTGACTGCGCGGGTGTAATTGAAAAGTGGCCTGATAACTTTTCTAGGGCTTATTTCCATTTAGGGGTCACGGAACAAAGATTTTAGAGTTGGCACAGCGAAAACAAGAATCTGCCAGGTGTATCAAGTTCTTACACAGCATTTGGCCTATCATAGCAGGAACTCAGAAATGGATTCTTGAACTGACATCAATGGATTCTTGAATGAATCAATGGATGAATGAATCTCAATGCCAATCACAAATAAGAGGAGTCTGAGGGTGAGCCCTGTGGATGTCTGAGAACCAAGGGTATTGGGATCTAAGCCTTGAAAGGTTCTGTTTAGATTTTCTTGGTGAGGAAGAGGCACGGAGTAAAGGAAAAACAACAACCCCCCCCCCCGCCCTACTTAGAAATATGTCTTGGGGGTTTGCAAAATAACCTTGGGGTTATATTTTTACAGGTCTTTCCAAATATTGAGAAATGTGACTAACACAAGTTTTGAGATTGGGTAATCATGAAAGTGAGTATTCTACCAATAAAATATAATGAGAGAGTAGAGAAGAGAATGATTTAAACCAGGGCTTCTGACTCTGTGTGAGTTTTGTCATGTCTGTCTACCAGGTCATTGGCAGAGCGGAGAGGTCTCCTCCTTCCTGCCCTCCTTATTTATTTCCTGTAACGCACATAAATACACAGTGACCACAAAGAACCAATTTCTAATGTCTGAGTTGATGGGTCCTTAAGAGTTGAGAGAGGCATGGAAGAGCATGATTTCAAAGATTGACAGAGAATTTATAAGTTGAATTGGATGACATTTTAGAGATTTGCCTTCAATTTCTCCGTAATTAAGCATTTCACTCCCGCCAGGGCTATATTTAGAAATTTTAAAATGATTGAGTATATTGAGTCTTTGGGGATTCCTGACTCTCAGTTGGATTATGCTTTCTATTAGTGTCCAGTTGTATTCGGCGTGCTATGTTAATCCATATTTAAACTAGGGTGACCTTACACCCTGATTTGCCTGGGACAGTCCTGGTTCACACCTGTTGTCCCAGCAAAATTATTAATAGCATCCTCCACCACTCTCAGTAGTGTCCTGGTTTGGAAGACTAAATTCTATAGTCACTCTAACTTTGACTCCCAAAAACTTTCAAGAATACACCGCACTTTCTTATGAATTGTTGCAATTTATAGCTATTTCATACGATTTTTGAGACCCTTCCTTCTTTCTGTCCCATTTTAAGCATCCTTTGAACTTCAGAAGGCTCCTCACGGAACCAGAAAGCCAGTGGTGAGACAAAGAGGACTGCATCACACAAAGACAACTGTTGTTCATTAATAACACATTAATTCATTAGCATGCTTTGCTAATTGATAATATTTTAATTATTCTGGTTGCATTTCTATTAATCAGCTGTATGATTAAGTCAGTTGTATTATTAGGTATTTAATGAGTGCTAATGGTTTGATAGCACATACCTTCAGAGCCAAAGAGAAGTAAAAGCAAGAAGCCTTCTATCTTGCGTGGCATTCTCCCCTCGTCCTTAGCTGCTGCTCTTCCTTATCAAAGTGGAGAGCTTTCCTAGGAACAGCAGCTTAACTTGAGCACTGGCCTCATTAAGCATCTTATTTCATTTACTTCTTAGGGCTTTGGCCAAGCCCCGCTAAGTTAACCCACATAGTTACCTGCCTCAATAAGAAGTCTCAGAGGAGAAGCTAACGTCAACTGAGGTCAGTTTAGCAAAGGAAGGTATTGGCTTTATTCTATCTTTAAATGTAAGGGAAGCAGTGGAGGAAAATAGAAACTAGAATCAGAAGACCCAGGTCTTAATCCTTTCTCTGCCATCGTTTTCTAGGGGGTGACCTTGAGCAATTTCCTGCCAAACAAACACTAACATTCTGGAATTCTATGAAAATGACATGGATTCCCCCTCTCAGAAAGCAAGCTGGCATCATGTTTACACCTATTCACTCAGGAAAATACAAAATTGGGAGGGGGCGGTCAGTTACACGCAGATTTACATTGCTGTGTTATTTATAATAAGACAAAATTGGAAACAATCTACATAGGGGATTCAGGACAGCAGGCAGGGTTAAGAGCACAGATTCCCAAGCCAGACTGGATGCAAATCCCGGCTCAACCAGTTGTTATGTAGCCTTGGGAAAGTCACTTAAGGTCTCTGTGCCTCAGTTTTCTCATCTGTATGATGGTGATAATAATGCCTATTTCATAGAGTTAGTTTGAGGCTTAAATGGGATGATATACATAAAAAATACTTAGAATAGTGTTTAACATAATTAGCTATTATTATTACTATACAGCCGATAACAATAAAGTTGATGGGGTGGGGAGGGGAGTTGTTTAATGGATACAGAGCTTCAGTTTTCCAAGGTAAGAAAGTTCTGGAGATCTTTTTCACAACAGTGTGACTTTACTTAGCATTTCGGAACTATACACTTAAAAACAGTTAAGAAGGTTTAAAAAAAAAGTTAATGAAGTGATTGTAATAAAAAGGACAATCATGTGTTATAATCCTGAGTTAGAAAAGGATACAAATTTACCCACTGTATGAACAAAACTATGTGGAAAAACTCAAAGAAAAATACTGAGTTTCCCCTTCCCTTTTTTTTTTTCCCGTATACATATATATTGCAAAAGGATCACCACAATAAGGTTAGTTAACACATCCATTGTCTCAGAAAGTAACCATTTTTTGTGTGTCTGGTGAGAAAATTTAAGATCCACTCTCTTAGCAAATTTCAAGTATACAATATTGTTAACTGTAATCACCGTGCTGTACATTAATCCGCTTCCCTCTTTAGTTCTTGGCCACCACTTTAGTTCTTGACCTTTTTCACCTCAATCCCCCAGGGTCCCAGAGACCTTTACTTCACTCCTGTTGTCAAAGATGAAAAAGGTCAATATTGAAAAGATAATAACCCCCCAAAGCGAAGCTGTAATGAACTAATACAGAGGAACAAAAAGGAACTAAAGTTTACTCATTCAATCAGCATTTTGGGGGTGTTCACAAGCCTGACGCTTATTCTATACTATGTATGGATTCTTCATTAAACAGACGAAGGTCTCTTTAACAAACCCTACTGCAGTACTAGAAAGAAAAGAACTACTGTTTTCTCTGCTCTGTATTTTAGAGTTTACTGAAAAAATTAATAATAAACCTTTAATAATTTAACTGCAGTCAAAGCACCGCTGTACTGCCATAGTTTACTTGGAGGCTTTGGAGGGCCGGCCTGCCCTGGTTTGTAAGGAAGGGGCCGTGCTGGGTGATCTTGGTTCCCACGAGCGCCGGAGTTCCCGAGGTCGCCCCGGAGCACCGAAGGAGCGGTCGGGGTAGGGCCCTGGCGGGGCGGGGTCGCCCTCGGGACTACAACACGGCCAGGCCCCCACTTATGCTGTTTCCTAGGTCGGGCGAGGGCGGCAGGGATGGGAGGAGTGGCTATCTGTCATTACGCTTCTGCGATAAAAACATTCCAAAAAGTAGACAAATAAAGATTAAAAAAAAAATTAATGGGAGAAAGAAAAGCACTTCTCTTCTTTAAAGAGTGAAAAATCAACCGTGCTACTTTGGTTCCACTGGGGCTCGAACCCAGGACCTTCTGCGTGTAAAGCAGACGTGATAACCACTACACTATGGAACCCCCTCGCACCTCCCTTTTATCATTACTTTATTCATAGTGTCACATGAGAACCGGCTCCTCGGCTGAAACCCCGCCCATCCGCCGTAACTCCGCCCCCGCCGTGGCCCCGCGCCGCCTGTGAGATTTGGTGTTCGCGGCCAGGTGGCGGGCTCCGGCTCCGGCGTCTGGGTAGTTCGTCCTTCCTCCCCGCCGGCCTCGTCGCCCCTGCGACCACGGGGAGGCCGGGGCGAGGGGTTACCCTCCTGGCCAGAGCGTCGCCCCGCTAGTCACCCTTCCCCAAACTTTCCCGCAGCCCGGGCGTCGGCGAGGTCGGCCCGGTGGGCGGAAGGGGACAGTGCCCGGGGCGCGGCCCCTTTTGACAGCTCCCCTCAGCCTGAGGGACCCGCACTTCCCCACTTTCCCCCGGGCACACTGAGCCGCTTCCGGCAGCATTGGAAGCCTTGAGTCCGGAGCAGGGCGCACAGGAGCACCACAAGGAGCCGAAGATTCAGGCAGCGCGGGGCTGGGGGGGACGGCTGGGGGCTCCCTTTTATATTGGCCTTTATTTTGCCAGGGTTGGAAAAGGCAGCTGGTCACTCTGCCTCTTCCCCGAGGCTACAGGCTCTTAATGCTTCCCTGACCTTTTCCACAACATTCTTCCCCTTCCGGAAGCCCCAGAGGGGCTAAAAATTACAGGGCTTTTGTTTGATCTTATTTGTCTGGGGTAGGGGAGGGGTGAGGAGGCCGGTGTAAACAGGCCGTCTCTTTGGCTGGCGCGGGGAGGGGGAAGCAGGACCGGCCACAAGATTTGAGGGGCCCAATGCAAAATGAAAATATCAGGTTCCTTGATCATAAGTTATTGACAATTCCACAACCATGACAGCAGAGCATTAAACGCAGCGCGGGCCCGTGAGAGTGCAGCCCATGAGCCTGCCCCTGTGCTTCCAGGACTGTGGTCCCGATAAGGTGCTGCGACCCTCCATTACGAAGGCCGCCTGTATGGTATCGTTTCTTGGTTTCCATTGTCGGTGCCGTTTGCCCTCCCCAGTGCTTCTGGATGGATCTTCGTCACCATCCTGGGATTGCTCGCCATCCTCAAGCTTGAAAACGCACTTGAAACCATTTGGGTGGGTCGGGGGCGGCTCTTTCAGTGGTGAGTTGGAGTGGCTGAAGGCTGCGGCTGTCCTTTTCCCAGGCGTCTGACTTTGAGGCTGGCAGAATGATGGAGAAGTGATACTGATTGTATGAAGCAACCCCTTCGGCCAACTCCTGTCTTCCTGGGAAGGCCCCTGGGAGAAACAGGTGGGTGGAAGGTGCACTAATCTGGGGGTGGTGGTCAGGATTCTAGCGCTGCCTTGGCTACTCACTAGCTGTGTACTCTTGAACATCAGTTCACTTTCCAAGCCTCTGTATCCCCCTTTGTGAAATGCATGGGCTGGACTAGACACCCCCTTTCCCGTCTGGGTCTAAATGTTATCTCTACTTTCCGGGTTGGGAAAATGGAGGCACTTATCTGCCATGTAAATTTTTCCACAGAAACAGAGGCAAGCTGGCTTAGGTTCTTTAGTACCAGGTTTCCTATATCCTAGTTAGCTCCCTGTAGTGTTCATCATGGACCCCTTCCAGAATGCCTTTTTGTTGATACGTTTCGAGAGGCCTCTTGAACACTTGACGCTTAGGTTGTGAGCCATGAGATGACCATGAGTGGACAGCCACTAGCCAGAGGATGAATTCATGAAAACTCCATGTTTCCTGCTAGTCAGTGAGCTATAATGACTCCCATCATGCCCAGTGATCAGTATATTTAACCCGTTGCCAAACCCTTGTCAGTTCAAAACGAGGCTGTCAAGAATTGGGCCTAAAATTACACTCACTAGTCGTGTTTTGGTTTGTCTCTAGGGAATACTTTGCCCTTCCTCGAGCTTTCTGTCTGCCCTTGCTATAAGGGTGGGTTCGCCACGTGCAAGCTTTGGCCGGGTTCCCACACAAAGAAAAGAGGCTGGTACACCTCTGATGCACGCAACACAGGATTCTGCCTTTAGCAAAAAGGAGGGAGACTTTTGTTCCACTCCTGCTGCCTTCAAGTTGTATTCACAATCTGTGTTGCTAGTAAAGTGCAATATGGTTTACAAAGCACTTTCACATACATTCCTATGAGGTAGCCATGGTAAGTATTACTATCTCCATTTTTCAGCTGAAGAAGTTGAAGCCGAAGAGTTCGAATGTCTTGCCGAGACCATTCTGCTGGTGAGTGGCGGGGCTGGGCTCATACTCAGTTTTCTGATATCTAAGTGATTTGGGGAGGCCCGCGTTCATAGAGGCTAAATGTTCCCATAAGAGTGCCATTGGTGTCTTATAATATTTTGTATGCATGCCAGTGAGGAAGTGGATACCTTTTTTGTCTTTTGTAATTTTTAAATGAAATCCCTAAAAGCCAGAAGTAAGAGCCTGTCGTGAACCGCTGTTGATGACTTTCACTTTGATACCACCAGCATCATGGCTTGTGCTGCAGCTGGCCACAGTTTCCCCTGGCACTTTAGCCTGTTCAGTCAGATTTGTGAGGCCTGTGACCCCCGGGTCTGCCCATAATCATCTGAACAACTACCAGAGAAATAAACGAACTAGCAAATAAAGACTAGAAGTCACTTCAAACTTTTTGAGCCCTCTGATCTCTCAGGTGTTTAGTGTGGCTTCCCCAGCGTTTGGCTTCACTGATGGTTTCCTCACTGACAGCTTCCTTCACTGACGGCTTCCTTCACTGATGGTTTGGCTTTCGTCAGCCAAGGAAACCATGGCCCCAAACACCGAGCTGACTTAGGAAGCTCCATTGAGCTGACTTCATTTAGAAATGATTGTACTTTGTCTTTCAGTGTATATTCAAGTATTTACTAAGGAAAGTGAGTGGTTACCTTAGTATGGCAGAGTTCACCTTATTTTTCCCCTTTTACGGCTCATCAGAACATTTGAAACTAGCCTGTTGGAATGGGTGTTCGTTACTTTTTGCCCACCTACCTTTTAATAGTTAATTACATCCCTCAGTCTTTTTACCCAGTTCAAGTTCTGTGGTCATTTTTATCACTCCTTTGCCCCTTTGTTGCTTGTACTTGTTGGCAAAACCAGTCTGTTAAATCCAACTGTTTCCCCTCTCCGCCTCTGAATATGGCCCCAGGAGGAACACACCTTCAGGCCTACTGGTTTCACATTAAATTCTTGAGTAAGTACCTCAAGTGTGTTCTTAATGCGGCCCAGAATCATGTCTACTTTCCCTGTCCGTTCATTTTCCACCTCACCTAGAGGACAGGTTCATGTCTTCTCTCCCTAAACTTCCTGTACCTCCTTCCCCAACCTCACCTACAGCTGATGACCTTGCTTCCTTATTTCAGTGAAAAAAAAATGCAAGCAGCCTGAAGAGAACTTCCACAGGTAAGCCCCACATCTGCTCACCTGCCTGCATCTGTGCCCTCCTAGATCTAGACTGGGGATTTCCTACCACAGCCCTGTTGCCATTTGGGACCGGGTAACTCTGTCGTGGGGGGCTGTCCTGTGTATTGTTGGATGTTGCACAGCATCCCTGGCCTCTACTCACTAGACGCCCATAGCACCATTCCCCGAGTTGTGAGAACCCAAAATGTTCCCTGGCGGAGGGGGCAAAATCTTGGGGGCTATCAGCCGATGTCTGGAGACGCTCTGGGCTGTCGGGGTTAGTGTGCTACTGGCATCTAGTGCGTAGAGACCAGGGATGTAGTGAAACGTTCTGCAGTGCACAGAACAGCCACCCACCACAAGAAATAACTGGGCACCAAATGTCAATCGTGCCATGGTTAAGAACTCCTGCCCTAGATGACTTGTCTGAGTTCCTGTCGACACCCAGCCCTCCACCTGCGCTTGCCTACTCAAGGAAAGCCCTGCAACAACTCCCCTCTTTCTCCTGCATCTTTATTTATTTATTTATTACTATTATTTTTTAAAATTTTATTTTATTTAAAAAAATTCTTTAAATTTTTGGCTGCATTGGGTCTTCATTGCTGCACGTGGGCTTTCTCTAGTTGTGGCGAGTGGGGGCTACTCTTCGTTGTGGTGCGCGGGCTTCTCATTTGGTGGCTTCTCTTTGTTGCAGAGCATGGGCTCTAGGCACGCAGGCTTCATTAGTTGTGGCACTGAGTTTCTGCAGTTGTGGCACTGAGGTTCCATAGTTGTGGCTTGCGGGCTCTAGAGCACAGGCTCAGTAGTTGTGGCATACAGGCTTAGTTGCTCCGTGGCATGTCTTCCTGGACCAGGGCTCGAACCTGTGTCCCCTGCATTGGCAGGCAGATCCTTAACCACCGTACCACCAGGGAAGTCCCTCTCCTGCATCTTTATTTACCTCCTCTATTGGATCATTCCCATCAGCATACAAACATGCTGTAATTTTTTAGAAATTTTTATTTATTATTTATTTGGTTGCACTGGGTCTTAGGTGCGACTGGTGGGCTCCTTAGTTGTGGCTTGCCAGCTCCTTAGTTGTGGCATGTGAACTCTTAGTTGCGGCATGCACGTGGGATCTAGTTCCCCAACCAGGGATTGAACCCAGGCCCCCAGCGTTGGGAGCTCGGAGTCTTAACCACTGCGCCACCAGGGAAGTCCCATACTATAATTTTTTTCTCATCACTAAAAAATAATCTCTTAATCTCATTGCTGCCTCAACTACTTCCATTTCTCTGCTCTCCTTTATAGCAAAACTCTTAGAAAATATGTCTTTAGGTGCTCTCTCCAGTTCCTCTGCTCCTCTTGGAAGCACCCTCGCCTGAGTTTTGCTTTTAGGATGCCACTTTTTAGGATGCCAGCTTTTAGGATGCCACCCTCGCCTGAGTTTTGCTTCCTACCTCGCCAGTCACCCCTTCTCAGTCACCTTTGCTGGATCTCATCTCTTTGACCTCTGAACATGGGTGTTCCACAGGTCTCAGTTCATGGACTTTTCTATTCATTCTCACCACTCTGGTGACCTCATTTAATCTAATGGCTTTAAATATGGTCTGTAACCTAGATGAATTCCAAATTTATATCTCTAGTCCAGACTTTTACCCCAAACTCCAAATCTACCTACTATACATGTCCATTTAAATGTCTAATAGGTATCTCAATCCTATTCTGTCTGTGTCTAAACTCCCGATCTCCATCCCCTCTCCTTTCTCAGTCTTCCTTGTCTCAGATAAGGGCAACCTCATCTTTCCAGTTATTTAGGCCTAAAACGTAGAAAAAAATGGAAGAAATCATACTTGATTCTTTTTTTCCCCTCACACTTCAAATCTAATCTCACTAGCGAATCCTATTGGCTACACCTTCAAGATCTATCTAGAATCTAATCACTTTCTACCATCTGCCCTGCTACCATACTAATCAAAGCCACCATCACTTTTTGTCTGGATCATTGCCAAGAACCTCATATTCTGGCCTCCTGGCTTCTGCCGTTTTCTGCCTACAGACTGTTCTCCACACAGTAGCCAGAGTGATCCTTTTAGGACCTAAGTTAGATTGTGTCACTTCTGCTCAAAACCCTTCAGTAGCTCCCCACCTTAACTAGAAAGAAAGCCACAGCCTTACAGTGGCTTGCAAGGCCCTACATGATCTGATCTTCCACTTATTACCTCTCTGATCATATATCCTATTACATTGCTTTTACAGGACCACACCTGCCTGCTTGCTGTTCTTCAAACACAGTAGGACTCTTCTGCCTCAGGGCCTTTGCACCTGCTGTTCTCGCAGCCTTTACTGCTCTTTCCCTAGGTCGCCCCATTGCTTGCTGTCTCATCTTGCTCAGGTATTTGCCCAGATATCTTCTCAGTGAGGCCTTTCCTGACTGCCCTATTTAAAAATTGCTATTTTCCTTTCCCCTTCACCCTGGAAACTCAGTATCCCCCTTTCCTGCTTTGTTTTTCTCTACAGTGCTTATCACTATGTAATTTTCTAGATATTTACTTATTTCTAGATATTGTCTGTCCCCTATCATTCTCAACTAGAATGAAAGTTCCATGAGGCATGGTTTTGGTTTTGTTCACTGCTGTATTCCACAGAACCTAAGTAGCGCCTAGTACATAGTAACCGCTCAATGAATATGTCTTGAATGGATCTGTTCAGGGTTGGGGAATGACTCACGCCAGGTCAGTCCCAATCAAAGCTAATCCTGGGCCTTTTGTGTGAATTCCTGAGAAGAGACATTTCCGTGTTCACCCTGGACTCAACGTGAGCTAATCCAGAGGCTGGAGGTTCTGCTGCCATCTGATTATTGCATTGTATCAGACGGGGCTCTGAGTTGCCCACAGCAGAACCTTCTTGCCCAAAATATTTACTGCTGTTCCCTACATGGGATTTTTACACAGTTGCCCCACTGATAGTCTTGACCGGGTGACTGACTTTTGCCAGTTGGGTGTGGGCGGAAGCGATGTGCCTCGCTTCCAAGCACAGGTGTGAAGAGCCAGCTTGCAGGGTGCAGCTTTGATGTTTCCCCTTTGTTATGAGCACAGCAGTGCCCCAGAGAGAGGTTGGCCTGAGTCTTACAGGGAAGACCACATGTTACAGAACTGCAGCCAACCTGCGCAGGAACAGCAGTGAAAAATAAACCTTGATAAGTATAAACTAAGATTTGGGGTATAATATCACCTAAGCTGATTCAACACTCCTACTAGTTTGAGAAGAAAATGCGTTTATTAAAGGATATACAGTGGCCCACAGGCTCTCCGAGAAGGCTTTGGAGATTCCAAAGCCAGGAATAATGTCTAAATCTCACTGCGGGGCTGCACCATCAAAGATGCCTGCCCACCGCTGCCCCTTCTGAATACAGAGTTAGCAATGCAAGCCAGTGATGGGGCCCAGAGTCTCTATCACTGCTGTATCTGCAAACTGGACCCTTCTGCCACTAACTTTGGGAGAGGATGGCTTTCATAACCCCTTGACTCCTTGTGTTGCCCTTTTCTAAATTTAGGTCTCGCAGAGCCTAGGTCACATACCTGTGCTCCTGCTATGAGAGAGGCTGGAAAATCAAATTCCTTGTTTCTCCTTCGAGGACTCAGATGTGGGGAATTACCAAAACATAGGGAGGATGTTGAGAAGATAGTGTGGGTGACCACAAGTCTGAAGGACATCGGCTGCCTGCCTGAAGCCTGAGAATGGAGCCAACAGCGAGGGATTAGAGCTGAGAAAGAGCGACCAGGTGCTATCATTTAAGGCCTCGACCAAGTCAGACCTTAAGTATACTTGTTGGCTCTTTAGCTATTTGAAGGGTGCATTTCCGGTTTTGCTTAGACCAGTGGGAGTCGGGTTTACTGACTCTTGCAACTGAAGGAGTCCTGATGGTTCATATCTAAAATGTTGGGCATCACCGCAGTGGCTGGCATTGCTTCCCTGGCTCAGACACTGGGAAGTTTTGTTGCTCTCAGTTCCCAGGAAATGCGGAAAGAGGCTGATGGTCATGGGAATCGCCGCTTTGGCAGGTCAGGGCTTTGGTTTTCCGGCGTCCTGGGCAGCCATCAGTTCTCAGATGCAGCAGGGCACTTGTTCCCACGTATTACAGTAACCAGGACGGTTGAGGTTACAGAGTGGGCAACACAACTGTGGCAGATACTGCTAGTTGCTTATTCAATATCCATTCTTCTTTTTGTCAGTAATAAAAATAAGAGTAAACATTTGTATAATGCTTGCTATGTATTAGAGACTATTCAGACTCTTTACTCATATTAACTCATTTAATCCTCACAAGAACCCTGTGAGAAAGGTACTGTTACTATGCTTAGTTTACAGATGAGAAAACCAAAGCACAGAATAATTAGGTAACTAAGTCACACAGGTAGTAAATAAAGGAGTGGGGTTTTAACACCCAGGCCATCTGGCTCTATAGGCTGTATTTAACCTCTACACTGCACTGCCTGATTTTGTTTGACTCAGCAATGTGTCCAGTTAAAACAGTTTGATTTCCCAGGTTCGCTTACAGCTAGAAGAGACTGTGTGACACAGTTCTGGCCAATGACTTGTATGGAAGTAGTTGGGTTTACAAAACCATTTCTTTAAAAGGAGGTAGACTCAGCTGGTATGCCCCATTTTGCCCTTAGCTTCACTTTCTCCTCAGAACGCAAATGTGATGCTGGAGGGAGAGCAGCCATTTTGTGACCATGAGTTGACAGTCAGGAAGAAGAAAGCTACATTGCTCAGCAGAAAGAAGGAAGTTACCTGGGTCCCAGCCCCAAATTTACTACTTCCAGATTCCTCGTTATATGTGAAAAGTAAAATCCCTAATCTTTAATGCTACTGTTTAGTGGGAGTTTCAGTTATTTGAGGGAAAATACAATCACTACTGATTCAGTATTTCCACATTTCTCTCCTATACCATTTTGGCAATGTCTTTAATCTGCCCACCAGCTACTGAGGGACTGCTCCTCAGTGTCCCAGTCCCT